AATCAACCCTCACAACTATGATCATCATTACCAAGATATATAACAGAGATGAAAAAGCTTAAAAACAGAATGAAATCAGTAGCTAACAATTCAGGATGGTTGCCTGGTCTCAAATAGTTTTTAACTGATCTACCTAACAAAGAACAGTCATTGGCTTCAGTGAGGTAAAAGAACATGAGAAGCAAGTCTTTGTGGACACCCCAACTACAAGCAATAGTACACAAACTCAGTATTTGTAAGATTTCTCAAATTTAGCTTTAAGAATCTCTCAGTCAAAAACTCTTCAAAGAGTCCACTTGGCTATTACAACTTTATTAGATAGCTTGGAGTTAATTCTGAGTTGAAGCCTGGCTAAGCAATCTCAGTTACAACATATAGATCACATAGCGCTCCTGTGTCAATAAGTAGCTATGCTTGTGCTATGTATTAGTGTGGGATACTCTAACCAGTTTCTTTCTGCCTTCTCAGAATGGCTGCCTGTCATCTGAGCTTTTTGCTCCTTTTGGAAAATTACATTTCCTGATCATTTTCTTTATGGCAATGTCCAGTTTACCACCATTAAAGCTCTCAAGTATTATAATGTCATAGCTTGTTTTTGTACTACTGTATTTATTCATTAAAAACTAGACTTCATCTTCTGTATTTTACCTGCCATTTAAGAACAGAGCCCTCTTATACCTGCAAAAGCTATAAAGCTGTTCTCCTTGTCGAGACACACTCCCTGAATCTCACAGTTTCATCAAGTCAGCAAAGTGATGACGATCTGCCCTTAGAGATCTGAGCTTTCCAAACTCATGTTGTGGACCTCTGAAACAGATTTAGGTAGCTGTGAAAGGCTAGCTCAGTGTAGATCTTTCTTTTCAAACTTTGTATCTATACAGACTTCACATCTAATCCCATGAGCTACTACTGACACACAGACAAAATTATACATCTATTGGAATCAAACCTTAAGAAGCTAAAACAACCTGAATGATTCTCTATGCTTCTCCTCCACTCCCTCTTATCTCTCTCATCTTTTAAATGTTAACTAGCAGAACAGACATAGCCATGTATGATTTCTATTGCTACTAGCTTGAAACAAGCCAATTATAAAGATGGCTTTTGCAATCAGCTGTTGTCTGATAGATTTACTAGATACAATATGATATATTAAAAGTGAAGTTTCTCTTTTACTTCTGAATAACTAATCTCAGCTAACATTCTTCTCTTCATATAAGTACAAAACAGTTGTCCTCTGAATACATAAAATATTCTGTTTTCAAGATCCATTGGATCAAGCTGTCCAGACATGAAACCCAGATCAGCACTCTTGGGACCTTTTCTTGAGCTCATATGAGTCACTGATGGAGTCACAGAATCATAGAATCGTTTAGGTTGGAAAAGACCTTTAAGATCATCAAGTCCAACCATTAACCTAACACTACTAAGTCCACCACTAACCAATTAAGGGTAGAGTAATAATTAATTTCATGTTTCCTGGCTTGGTGGCTGGATTCTTTTTTAATGAGTCCTGCTGATTCACATGGAGTCTCTGAGGAATGATGCTGATGTGAGCTGGACTGGATGGCATCCTCAACTCCAAACTTTGAGATGAGTCCAGCTCCTCTATTTACAAATGGCAATGACCTTTTTTTTCCCCAGAGCTCAACAGAGCTGCAACTGAATGGGCACAGGTGAGGGAAGGGAGCTGCACAATCCTACCAGACAACCCAGACAAAAAGCAATATGAAAAGACAAGGGGGGAATGTTTTGCAGCCTCTTTGAACCTTTTCCTCTCCCATCATTCCCAAATCCTTGTCTGCTGCATTCCCAAGACTGTCTGGGTGAAGGAAGATGCACATTGTCCTCAGCATATTCACAATGTCCTAAAGCTCTGCACCTGTCTACTTAGCACTCATGTGAAACAGTCACTTCTGTGGTTTGCAGAGGTTCAGGAATGAACTGCCATCTTTCAGATGTTCAGAGGAGGAAAGGCAATGTAACCCAATGAATGTCTTGCAGCAGTCTCCAAAAAAGAGACCAGATTCCGTCCCAACATCGTAATGCTTTTGTTTTCATACACATTTATTTTTATTTTCATATCCTTAGAAAGCAGATTGCTGCCACACCAGGTGGAGAAGAAGCAATCTCTATTTTCACCAGAAAAGCCAAAGACCAAATGTAGTAAAATCATGTTGGTATTCTACCGCAAATTAACTTTAGCCCTAAAGAGTAGAGGCAAACCTTTCCCTTGCAAAGCTTATCAGTCCAGTGTGTTTGGCTGATACCTTGGCTGACATGGCTAATCAAGCTCTCTAAGGCAGTGCACTTCTTCCCTGCCACCCCTCCAACTCCCTCCTGCCTCCCCTAAAAAGAGAAAAAAGAGAACATGCTTCCATGAGTTGGGATAAGGTTAGGCAACAAATTTCCACAAGTGTGCTGCAGTCAGAGGCACAGCTCCCAGCTTTGTGAATGCTGGAACTAAGCTTGGTTCCCTGTGAATTGCATTTTGGGGTAAAGTGCAATATCTAGAGAAGCTTTCCTGTGGCTGGGTCTCTTGGGACTTCTCTTGCCCCCTACCCATCCTTCTGCTGATTCTTTGTTGCCTCTGTGTGTAAGGACTCATGCTGCAATGCTGCCTTCAGCTGGGAGTCTTTCTGGGAGTAATTTCTGGTTCTCTTTTTCTACAAAAGAACATATAATATTCATGAAACTTGTTGGAATTTCATTGTCTGTAAGACCCCTCCCTTTGCGCCAGATTTGCTTGGCACTGAATAAAAAATGAAGAAGTTATGAGGGAAAAGACAGAAGAACAGGCTGATAGACTGCACAGGCACATAAACACACACACTCACATACACAGTCTTCTGGAGAGCAGAGCAGGCTGAAAGTGACATACCTATCCTCTACACTAAGGTACTGAGTGGTATTCAGGACAAATATAATGATCCTAAACATCTTAGCGTTATCTCTGGCTTCTCAACATGTAGGCTACAGTTTTGCCTGTTCTATTGCCTTGTTTGTTACTTTACTCTCCTCCAGATCATTACCTACCACATTATACCTCTCATAAAGGTCCTTTATTGTTGTGCTTCAACACAACACAACACAACACAACACAACACAACACAACACAACACAACACAAGTTGGTACAGCACAGCTGAAAGTGGCACTGACCAATATCTAGCTGATCCATCCTTATTCCCAAGCTCTCTGGACCCCATGTCAATTTTTCCTCTTCTCTACTCTGTGTCACCTCCTGAAAGCAGAGGCTGATTCTGGACATCGGAGAAGACTGGAGTCATTAAGAAGACCAACTGGGTTTCAGCAGGCTCGAATCTTTGACCCAGTCTTGTAGTGGCTTAAAAACCATTTTTCTTACCCTGTTAAGCTATCATAGCGTCTTGCAAACCCCTGGAAATTAGCCAGACCTATCGCATCCTCCTGGAGATTAGCTAGTTTCCAAATATTTAATGACTATTCAGGGAATTTTTAAGAGGATAAAATCACACAACTGTATAGTGCATTGCATTCTAGAGAACCCCAAGCCAGATTTCAGTTATTTTTAAAGAAAATAAGCCATTTTTGAACTACGGAAGCTCTACTTCTTCCAAGCAATTAAGCAAGTAATTATATTGGACTCCAATAACCTAAAATCAGCCAAGGCATTTGAAAAACAAAATGGTTAAAGGAAAACAACCTTTGGCTGAAATCTCATATGCCAGCAATTTAGCCTAAATCCTGCTCTATAAATCTTGGAGGAGAAGTGCTGACTTAGTGACATACTGGCTGCTGTAAAATGAAGTATAAACAACTATTTACTTTCATTTCATGCAAAATTTATCATCAGTGCGAAAGCACAAAAGAAAATATGGCACCATCAGCCAGGTCTGATTTTATCAAGGCAATGGAAATCATTGCAATTTGAAGGCTTTTGAGGAGGAAAAGCCTTTCAGTTTTCTAATCCAGTCTCTGTTTCTGCAGTATTATGCTCTTCTTTTAGCATTTCTTTAACAGGAAGAGTGAAGAATATTAGAAATTCAGGGTTTTTTCATCCTATCCTTTAGTTTGCTCAACTAGGTTCATCTGCTGTGGAACTGCTTCCCACAGCACTCCAGGGCTTGAGACGCCACAGATATTTGGGCTTGGAAATGCTTACAGTATACCTGCCAAATTAAAAAGACCAGGTCAGTTGATAAGGTCCCCAAAAGGTTCAGACCAGCCCATTGTGCTGGTTCCATTTTGATATGCTC